ATAGGATGAAATCGGCTATAAGTGTTCATATTTTTTCATTTATAAAATTGGGTCATTTTTTGTGTGGTTTGGAAATGATTTTTATTTTTTATTTTTTTATTTTTGAGAAAAATAGACTACTTTTAGATTTGGTCGGTAGAAGGGGGGTGCTTTTAATTTGTGTGTATAAATAACATATTTTTATCGTAGTCACTAGAGGTGACGTGCGGCAGTCGGAGGACGACAGCAGGATGCGACAGCCGTTGGAGCGGCGACGGCGATGCGTACAAAGAAGCGACGGCAGAACGAAGAGGGTGGAAGGAAATCAGTTTGCGCAGTTACCGGAAGGGACAACGGCGGCCACAAAACACGTCCTTCGCCTTCGTTGACAGCAGCGGCGACGGCTACGACTTGGTTTTACGATCTCCCGACTGAAACGACGTCTAATCGTCGGTCTTTGTCCTCAGCAACAACGGAAACGGCGACATCAGTACTCGAACTGGTGGTTACCGGTTTCGACAGTGGTGGCGGTGGCTGGAAGTGAGGGGGGGTAAAGGGTGGCGGCTGGTGATGTTAGGGTTAGGGTTTGACTTTTGAGAGGGTATCAAGTGCTGCACTCTTAAAACGGGAGGGGGTAAGGAACTGGGTTCCGTGTTTTGCCAAACTTGAATGCTTTTTTTTTTATGAGATTGGTCCCTGCCACTACAATTCCTTTTCAATTTAAATCCAATATTTACCAAACAGCCCCATCCTTCAGAATTTATTACAATTCAAGTCCAAAAGTTACAATTTAACCCTCAATATTCACAATTATAACTTTTAACACCCCAAAGAATACACCCCGCTAATTAATACGACTTTAAGACTAAAAATAAAATATAAAAATACGTCTCGAAGTATTTAAGTATTATTATTTATTTATTTACTTATTTTATTTTATTTAATTTTAAACGGAATGTTACACCCACTCCCAAGCCCACCCCCACTATAACGTCCCAAAAATTACGAGGTTAAAATTTCATTTTTAATTCGATCAAAACACTAATTATCTTTTTAGCTAAACATTCATTATCCTTTTCTAATTATCCAAAAGTATTTCATGAGAAGACATTTATCAAAGTACAATCCCAAAATCATCATAATGAGGAAACATGGGTGGATGTGCTGCGATCAAGCCAGACCCTTCCCTTTAGAACCAAAAGTACCTGAAAACGTAACCATAAAACCGTAAGCACAAAGCTTAGTGAGTTTCAAAAAAAAAAACCATATACCATACAAACATAAAGCCAAGTATATATGGGTGTTTGCAATCCCCTTCGGTCTATTTCAACTGGATATCGAGTCTATTTCACTCCCTACCACTACCATACATATCAAACATATGGTGGGCCCTGCCCGACATCGAGCCTCCCTCGGTATACAGATCCGTCAGTCATCAGGCCCCGCCTGGCATCGGGCCCTGCCCGGTATACATATAAACATATAATCATACCAACACATGCAATAATCACAAAGATAATAGTATACAGTACAGTCATCGAACCCCCGCCCGGCATCGGGCCTTGCCCTGTAAGCATACCAACACATAACACATGCAAGTGTCACACAGACATCTAGCATCCTAACATAATAAGCCATGGGCCGACATTGGTACCTTCGACCCACTAACATAGTGAGGAAACTCACCTTAAGCTGCTGAATCAATCAAATGAATCTCTGGTTGTTGGGCCGGAACATCCTCGCGCTATTAATATCAATATCATCCAATAATAAAATGGGTCTGAACTCATAACCAGAGTCTAAGCTACTTAGCCCATAACCAGGGTAAAAGACCATTTTACCCATTATCTAACTTGACCCAAATCCAAAGCCCAACTCAACTATTCAAAAGGCCTAAAACCTAAATGTCAACCCATGGCCCAAATATGGCCCAATATTCCAAATTGGGCCCAAAACCCATCATGGCCTAAAATCCAAGGAAGCCCAACATACTAGTCCAAAGCCAAAGCAAAAGTCTAACGGCCAAACCCTAACATTTGCCTAATATCGAAAACGTCAAGTCCAAGGCCCATCTGCGGAGTACATAGGCCATACTCAGCTCGTACACTTAGTGAACTCCTTCAGGGGCTAGTACGCGCAACGTACCAGTTGGGTACGCCCATCATACTCCCCAGTGTGCCATCCCACTCCATTAAGCACTTAATTGGTTAAGCCTTTCCTCCAAACTCACATATCTGATCCCTAAAGGTGACTTATCACGTAAAGTTGGCAACTTTACATACATGCATGGCTTAATGGGGCTCAATAGCTCAAAAAGTGCTTAACAAATGTCTTAATACACGCATGATTCCAAATACTCCATAAAGTTGACATTTTTATGAACATGTGGACTAATTAGAGTTAAGATCTAGCATTCATTGCCTCTGGAGTAGATCAAAAGCTTACCTTTATCACAAAGGGCTCAAAATGTGCACAAAATGCTACATGAACTAGATCTAACATATAAGAGCATAAAGATGTAAGCTTTTTACCTCAAAAAGCTTGCAAATGTGGAGATGATCCTGGATCCATAAGCTCAAGTAATTCCCTTCAAGCGTTCCTCTTCTTCTTCTTATTCACAAACCACCAACAAACACTCTTCAAGCTCAAAACTCACCAAAACACTAAAGGGTTTCACTTTTCGGGACAAGGAGTGGTGGAAGCATGAGGTTTAAATAGGGTGAAAACCCTACAAATTTGGGTTTTCCTCAGCCTTACGTATGCCCCCGCGTACGTGGTTAAGAGTCGCGATCAAGAAATGAGCCAGTACGCCCATCGTACTCCAACTTTTCTGAAGTTGGCAAATCTGTCCCCTAAGGAACAATTCTGCAAAACATTAATACACCAAGGGTCTAAACTGAAAAGTAATTTGAATCGGGTGTTACACCCACCCTCACCCCCACAAACACACAAACACACACACCCCACCCCCATAAACACACACATACACACCCACCCACCACCACAAACACACACCCAACCCTACCCACACCCACACCCCCACAAACACACACACACATCCACACACACACACACCCAAGAACACACACACCCACCCACCCAACACCACTACCACAATCACCGATCTACCATCACTATCACCATCACCACCACCACTACCCCATCACCAACACCATCGCTACTGTCATCACCACCATCGCCGCCATGACCATTACTGCCAAAATTGTCGCCGCCACCACCACCACCACCGTCGCCATCAGCGACACCACCAATACCCCCGCCGCCGCCCCCCACTCCCACCCTACCACCGCTACTGTTTTCTAAAAATAAAAACCACTAGAAAAATACACATCTAAACACGTTTTCTAATTTTCTAAAACTGAAAATGAAAAACGAATAAGTTTTAAATAAACACGTTTTCTAAATTTTCCAATGAAAACTGAAGATGGAAAACGAAAACTGAAAAGGGAAAGCGAAAAGCGGAAAATGAAAACTGTTTTTCCGTAACTAAACGCAACCTTAATATTTTGGTTTAATTTATTAAAAAGTCCCAAATTTTATTTTGTTAGCAAAAAAGTCCCGATTACCAGATAAAAAATTCAAGTCATCCATTTTTTACCGGTAAACTATTTTTTTACCTAATTGTCTTCAAAAAAGTTTTATTATTTGACTAAGTTTATGAAAACGTCCCATTTTTTTTACTTCTACCATTTTAGCATTTCACTAAAAAATTTAGAAATTTCGTGGTTGAAATTATGAATATAAATAAACGTCATTAAGTTCCATAAAACTAATGATCAAAGTTCTTTATAACCAATTGTTTTCCCTAAAACAACAACGTTTGCATCATTTTGAACTCATCATCGTCAATATAATTCATTTCCAACACAAATTATGTTACATGTATGATAATATATTCAATTTACGTGTTGAACACCTTATTATAATATATCTAAAAGTAAGTTAAAAAATCCACTGTTATGTTTATATAAGAAACCACGTAACGATGACAAAACCAATCAATACAATAGTAGGTTATGTGAGGTTGTAAGTATTTTAGAAAAGAATATGAGTTTTATCCTTAAAATTTTAAGCATATATGCGCAATTCTGGATCAATTACTTCACATGTCAATAAATTTAGATTTTAGATCTCTAAAACAGCAAGACCATAAGAAACAAAGTTTCATCTTAAATATTTATGTGTCAAACCAAAAGTGATCATATAAGTGAATCTATAGAAGAACAAACACCACATTTCTTACGGTATTGGTGTTTTGGAGCTCCAAAATTTAAATTTATTGACATGTGAAGTAATCGATCTATGAATGAATTGTTCATATATGCTTAAGATTTTAAGGATAAAACTCATATTCTTCTCCATAATCCGTACAACTTCACCTGGCATACAATATTGATTGGTTTATCACCAATCAATGGTTTCTTATATGAACATAATAATTGGTTTTCTTTTAACCTACTTTCAGGTAAATTGTAATAAGATGTAAAACACATAATTTGAATATCTTATAATACTCTTACATAAATTTGTGTGAGAAATGGGTTATATAACTATGATGAGTTCAAAATAATGCTAACGTAATTGTTTTGTGGCAAATAATTGGTTATAGAGGATTTCGATCCTTAGTTTTATGGAGCTTAATTACGTTTATTCCTATTCATAATTTTAACAAAGAAATTTTCAAATTTTTAGTAAAATGGTAAAAGAGTTGAAGTAAAAAAAATGAGACTTTTTCATAAATTGTGTCAAATAATTAAACTTTTTTGGAGATAATAGGATAAAAAATAATTTACATGTAAAAAAAGACTAATTTGAATTTTTTTATCTAATAATTGGGACGTTTTATTATAAAATAAAATTTAAAACTTATTTATAAATTAACCAAAATATATTAGGAATTTCTGTTTTAATAAAGTAAACCATTTTATTGGGTATTTGCGATTCCGAACGGGAGCCCAGCCCAACATCAGGAATAGGAGTTTGCCGTCGAGGCCAGGGCATTAGACCGGACCAAAGAAAAAGGAGACCAACTGAGGGACGGATTCCAGTGACTTCACTTCCGGCGTCGACTACGCATCTCTCTTAGCTTTTTACTGCACACACGAAGAGCGGAGTCGTAGAAAACGAAAATGGTGAAAAAGGAAAATCCAATTGCAGAAGTAGATGAAGACGAAGAAGATTTTGATGAAGATGAAGAAGAAGAAGAAGAAGAGGAAGAACCAGTAGACTCGCAATCAAGAATGCGGGATGAAAGGGCGAAAATGGAAGGATTTCTCCGGCGAATGTCATCCGAAAGAGTTCCGTTGAGAGTCCACGACGTGATAATCAAAGGAAACAACAAGACTAAGGAGTCGTTAATCGAAGCCGAGGTCCAAGCCCTAAAGACCGCCACCTCAGTCCAGGAACTGCTTCAGGCAGCCACTATAGCTAATGCGCGGCTTCAGAAGCTCGATATTTTTGATTCCGTAAATGTTACGCTTGATTCAGGTCCGCCTGACTTGCCTGGGACTTCTAACGTCATAGTTGAAGTTGTCGAGTCCAAAAACCCTATCACTGGTGATATTGGCATTTTCACCAAGCCTGAGGTACTTTCCGTTTGTTTCCACTTAGTTATGTCTCTGATAGATCATCAATGTCTTCTTAATTCCTATTTCATCTCCAACAATTCATCACAAATTGTGAAACGTATGCCACTGATTTTGATCATGTTTAAATCAGAAATAGTCACGTTTGATGCTGCAATTTGTCATATATTCATATACATGATTAAGTTTAAGTATAATATGCATTTATCCACCTGTAGATGAGATGGGATACCATTAACTCTATAAGATGTTGATGTTGTGATTCAGAAGTCTTTATATTGATATGCATTTGTTTAACTTGATTTGTAGGCTAGATCATGGTCAGTTGAGGGTTCACTGAAGCTTAAAAACATGTTAGGGTATGGAGATATATGGGATGGTTCTTTATCTTATGGGTGGGACCAAACATCAGAAGTTAGCACTGGTGTGGCTTTACCAAGATTCATGAAACTGGTGAATCCTGTTATGGCTCGTGTATCCCTTCTTTCTCAAGATTGGCTAAAGTTTTCCTCTTATAAAGAACAAGCAATGGGGTTATCTCTTGGCTTAATATCAACCAGGAAGCATGACTTAGCATATAATCTGTCATGGCGCACCTTAACTGATCCATCACAAAGGGCTTCTGTGTCTGTAAGGAGACAGCTTGGACATAATTTGCTCTCACATTTGAAGTACACTTTTAAAATAGACAAAAGGAACTCACCTCTTAGACCAACTCGGGGCTTTGCTTTTGTTTCCACTTCTCAAATTGGTGGCCTTTTTCCTGATTATCGCAGTGTTCGTTTTATCCGCCAGGTTTTCTGCTCCTTCATGCCTTATATTTATTTATTTTTTTCCGTAGTAGGGCTAAAAAACAAATTTAGTCTTAATAAACACACATTTTATTTTTTAAAATTTCGACAGGAGTTTGATCTTCGGTATGCTTTACCTTTGGGTTTTGCTCGAGCTGCATTAAACTTTGGGGTTGCTGGTGGTGCTGTATTTCCATGGGGAAGTGGATTTCTAACCACATCTGTATCTCTACCCGATCGATTCTTCTTGGGTGGAAACTCTTCTCCTGTTTGCACATTAGGAGGCCCAACATCATTACTGGGCTTCAAAACTAGAGGATTGGGCCCAAATGAGCCAAGACGTGAAATCCAAGACAAATCCAACAACGAATCAGGTTCTGACACCTGTCCCGAAAGAGACTTTCTTGGTGGAGACCTTGCTGTTACTACCTTTGCAGACCTTTCTTTTGATCTCCCATTGAAAGTCCTCAGAGATTCCAATATTCATGGACACGCGTTTGCTTGCGCGGGAAGTCTCGTAAAATTAACCGAGAATTCATTTCGAGATCTCTCCTTTCAGAAATACAAAGACTCCTTCAGAAGCTCTGCTGGATTCGGGCTTATTGTACCCACCAAATTGTTTCGTATGGAGGTACATTTATTTATTTATTTTTTATATTAAGCCGTTCTTTCTGTATTAAATTGATATATATTTTTTTATCGTTCAGGTGAACTATTGCTACATATTAAGACAACATGAACATGACAGAGCGAAGACCGGCGTGCAGTTTAGCTTTTCTTCACCGTTGTAGAATCAACCTTGATTTATTTCATTGCCACCAATCCTGAGTTGACACTTGACAGGTATATTTTTTCAGTTTCAAAAAAAAAAAAAAGACAAGTTTGATTAATAATATTCAACTTCAATCCTCTCATAAGATCATTCAGCCTTTATAAACATTCTAGAGGTTTTGGCTGTTGCTTTATCATGTTCATGTCAAACAGTAACGTAGTTAAATCATTTGTTTTTGTTTTTGTTTCTTTCCTGATGTCTTATTTTAACTTATATGGTCAAAATTTGAAGGCCTAAATTTGTCAAACCTAACCCTGCACTATTGCACATCACTGCTTGTGATTGGTATTAGGGAATTTGTGGGTTGACAACGTTGTGGACAATGTCCAACAATTTGGTTTACTTGAAGGGACCCCCATTGTCGCATAGTAACTTGTAACGTACAAGTTAATTAACTACCACTTTGGACAAAGCTGACTCGCTGCTTGGTGGGACCTTTTCTTGTTACCACTCACAACTTGACTATGATTTATTTTCCCATGATTAAAATCTGTTAATTAAAGTCGATTATACAAAGGATGTGATCTAACATTGTAGAAAGTAGAAACCATCTTTTGTATTCTTCGAATCAGTGTTGGGATTTTAAAAATCATTAACCCATAATTATGGCTATTTATTAAAAATGACCAATGATTTGTGACGTTAGACTTGATATGTTATAAAGAATCGAGTTCATGTTGATATGATGGAAATTTGAAATGTTTGCAATTGCAGTGAACTTGTTTTCATCAAACAACACGCTGATGTTTAGATAACATGTGAGAAGAAGATAAGGCTTTTTGGTTTTTGTATTCAAGTTGATGTTATTTCTAATAAATAACTGATTTTTTTTAATTCAATTACTATTGTTATTTCTAATAAATCTATAAAATATTTGAATTTTTGTTTTGATTTTGTTTTGGTATATTGGTTTCAATATATAGTTATGATAATTCGAGTATGCCGGACTAGTTTTTAGAATTTAGTTAATATTGTTATTTATGATAAATTCATCAAATATCTAAATTATTTTTATATGCCTGATATTTTAAATATTGTTTTGATACTGTTTCAATTTATATTTATTATTTTTTTTATCGGTTTAACTTTTATTTTGAAACAGGTTCAATAATAATTTAGTGTCTCCAAAGAAATTGGAATATCATAAATTATTAAATCATTATAAACATGCTAGAGAATAAACTGTTATATCGACAAATCAATTGCTAGCCGGTGCATTGAGATTTGAAAACACAAGCCATTTTAAGCTATTCATTTGATAGTGAACGAATGCAACATCCAATAAGTAAATCAGTTTTAATAATCATAATGCACCTCCTAGCATGTGCACTAAGATTTTTAAGATCCCAAAAACATTGAGGCTCTAATGTTATAATGCTAATTATATAGATGATTTCATAAAACAAAAATCATGGTCATAAAAGATCATCCATCTATAGTCAGTCAGCACGAGCATCCAGCGATTTGTTGATGTTCAATCGTGTTTTGACTTCTAAGGATTGGTTATTCTTTATAAGTTGGTCGTTGGTCTTCTTTTGTGACATTAAGGATATACAAGCTCTTCCAATTCCTCGGTTATCCCTTTCTTTTTCGGTAAAGATCTTTTTAATCTGTTTTTTGACATTCTCTTGGTCACTAAACAAACAAAACCAAAATTAGAACCGGTGAATCCAAAAGTTAAATATTGTTTTGCTGAAACGCATGTTAAAAATTATTAAGAATCAATCTCATCTTTTGTTAAGCAGTTACATGCTGGAAAATGGTGTGTGTGTGGCACGCACCCTAACTTTTATAACCATCTACAACCGCCTTTAATCTAAGTTGTTATTATTATTATTTTTTTTATCAAACAGTCCTGATGATACTTATTTGATTTTTTGATCAAATCCGGATTAAACTATGTCAATGACTTTACAGTTGTGACGAGTAATGACCATTGTGACATGTATTTTTCTTCTTTATGCAATATCATATTGCTATTAATTAGTGTATTAATTTTATGTTATAAACGAGTTCTTGTATATAATGTCTGTTTCTTTCGTTTTCTAACATCAGCAATTAGATTTTTATTTTTGAACATAATTGGTTATATTAATCTTAATGTGAAGAAATCATAGAAAAAGTTGGTCCAAATTAGCAAATTTCTTTGGTTCAGCCGAGATCACCGTCTCAAAAACTGGTATGATTTGAAAATAATATATTTTTTTTGGAAGGTATCTTTCCTGACGGGGGTTTCGGGTCAATTTTCACGCATTGACTAATCTCCCGCTGCAAACATGAAGCATAACCTTATGCCTTGGAATCTCCATGGCCACAAAGACTGAGTAGTGTCAGGATTTGAAAATAATATTCAACCTAGATATAATCAGTTTAGTTAAGATTTTAAGACCTAAACCGGTCAAACCAAACCATGAAACATCCTTGGTGATAATTGGTACTAGAATTTGTGGTTGACAACGTTGTGGACAATTTGCTAGAATTTGGTTAAGTATGATTTGATTACTTGCACTTCAGAGTGATAGGTTTCAAGGGGGGCCACATTGTTGAGAATAGAAATAAAAATGACCGTGATTTATTTACCTATGACTAAAATCCTTTTAATCACAAAACGTATTTAAAATCAAAGATATGAAAAGGATGGATTCATTCAATGTAGAAGAATTTTCAAAGGGCGGCTGTGATCCAAACTTGTGGAAACAATTTTAATGCATCTAATTTTGGATAAAAATCCATCTATTTACGTTGTTTTAATTAAACAATTACATTATGAAGCGTTTGATGAAGGCATTGAACTATATATATATATATATATATATATATATATATATATATATATATATATATATATATATATATATATATATATATATATATATATATATATATATAGGGTGGACGGAGTGGCTGGGGTTTGAGTTTTTTGGGGAGGAGGTACTGGCGGTATAACACAGGAACATCATTGACATACCGCACATATAAATCCATGCTTCAACGAGTTCCCTAATCAGTTCTATGGTTTTACCATCTTAAAAACTGTGTACTGGTTACTTGTAACTTATGCATATGTATTCTATTATATATAATTTTGTATGTTTTTAATTAGTTTTATATATATATTATAAATTAAATTTATTTGTTTTTAATTAGTTTTGCATTTATTCTAAAGTTAGAAATTGTTTGGATTGGAAGGACAGATTTTAGTTGAACTTTTTGTATCCTTAATTTTACAACTAGTGGATTGGAATTTCTAAGACGATCAAGTATTTGTCGAAGTCTCATTCGTCCATTGAGAAGAGGACCCACATATAATGTATTTTGACGACAAAAATCAAGGATATCTCTTTTTTAAAATTACAGATTTCTTGCTAACTTTGAAAAGATATACCTAACATGGAAGGTGTAGGGCCTCAATGAATTCTTCTAAGTCTAGAAATTATTTGTCCAAATCATTGTCCTTTCCACATTAATTTCAATATGGAATATTTATTATAAAGTGACGACTTGAGACCCTAATCGCTTACCAACTCTTCACTGATTAAGATAGTTAAGTGTAAATAAAATAGATTTATATACAAATACTCGTCTTGTTTGTAAGCAAAGTAAAATCCTATTTTTCTAATAATAAATGTTGTTTGAACAACATATTTTCTAATGAATTATGTTACAAAAATATTAGGAAAAATAACATTATACATGCAAACAAAAAATTTAATGAAAAAAAATATCTAAAAACATACGAATTATAGGGAAAGTACAAAGTGGAACAAAGTTCGTGAAAACATGAACATTGTTACAAAGTCATGTTAAATCCATCACATTTTATTGCGAAGTGGCTTTATATTTGTACGTCTAACTTACGGAAACCCCAAATGTAGAAATGGGGACAAAAATATGGTCAAAAATATCTTGAAGATTTTTGTATGATTTTATGTATGATAATTTGATATAGGGATAATTACATAAAAATCCTGAAGTGTGTAATTTTTTGTCCATTTTACATTTTTTTGGATATTAAGTTCATTATAACTAGATGTTTTCAACTATTTTTGTTTTTTCTTTAAATTTTACCCTCTAGTTAATTAAAACCCTTATGCTTGACATAAATATTAGGTTGCTATTTTTTCTGGTTTATAAAAGTCCTTAAGTTTGGTTTTCTGGTTCATTAAAACGCTTAAGTTTGAAATAAATTTTCACTTTTACTACGTAAATTTATAAAAAGAGTAAAATTGAAAAAAATATACAAATTTGAGATATTAATGGACCTAAAATACAACTTTGGATAAAATTGACAAAAACTTACAAATTTAAAGGATTTTATGGCATTTACACTTTGACTATATGTGTGAGTTACATGAATTTCAATATAGATTGTTGGAATTTTTTTATGGAATATGTAACATCCCAAAAAATTCAAATAAAATTTACTTTTAAATTCATTTCAATTATACGGTAATCATATAAATATAGCCGAGAGTATATCATAATAACATATTATCAGAGTACAAAATCCCAAAATCACGTGATGCAGAAAATCATAGGTGGATGCGGTGCAATACGATCGAGCCCTTCCCTTTCGAGCTGGAAGTACCTGAAACATAAACTGAAAACCGTAAGCACAAAGCTTAGTGAGTTCCCCCATAATAACCCATACCATACATACATAAAAATCAAGCATATTTGGGTGCTCGCAACCCCTTCGGTCTCTTTCAACCGGTACTTGGTATATTTCAACCCATTCGGTCTCTTTCAACCGATATTGGGTATATTTCAACCCTTTCGGTCTCTTTCAACCGGTATCGGGTCTATTTCACCCCTACCACTACCACATAATATCATAACAAAAGAGTCACAAGACATCAAGCAAATATAGGCATACGAGACAATTGTCATGAAGACAATCATCATACTACAAGCATAATCGAGTGGGCCAACATTGGTGCATTCGACCCACGAATGCAGTGAAGGAAACTCACCTCAGACTGAAAATATCAAATCACACTCGGGCTTCTGAATCGCAAAATCCTCTTACTAGATCACAAGTATAAAACCCTAATTAGAAATTAGGTCAATAATCTAACCCGAGAGTCTAAACCCTAAATTCAGACTTAAGGGTAAAAAGGCTGCTTAAACCCTGTTTTATTGGGTTTACCCTATCAAGGACCAAATCCCAACTAGCCCAATAATGCATTCCAAGTCCAACTAAAAAGAGACCCTAAGGCCCAAACACGGGCCCAAGAACTCCATGATGGCCTAAGGCTCACAATTGACCTAATACTACAAATGGGCCTACAACCCAAACTCCATCAAGGCAGATCCCCAACAAATCCCGAGACCAAAACGACAAAGGCCCACAGATAGTCGTACGCGCGGCGTACCTGGCACGTTCGTTCGACATACTAATCCGAAAATCGAGGCATTGGCCCAATATGCGCAACGTACTCATGAGTACGCCCGACGTACTGGTCAGACAATCAACCATCAAGATTTTGTCTTAACCCAATAAGCTTTGACGTCCAAAATCAGATCCAAGGTCATTATAGTGTATTAAGCCATAAACCTTCAAACTTTATGCTTTTGCATGACTTAATGGGACTCAAACCATGGATTAAGCCTTCTATCTCCCTTAAGTGGTCACCAACTCATGCATGGTTAAGTTCTAACCTCCAAGATATGATTTTTATGACTTCATGCACCCCTAAGAGTCCAAAAGGACAACTCAAATGGTCAGGAGTAGCCCATACTCCAAAATACCAAGTTATGGGACCAAAAGATGCTAAGTTCTTCCCTAAACCTAGATCTAGAATTAGAATGAGCAAGTTTCAGATTTTATACCTTGAATGGGCTAGAAATGATGCACAACCTCTGGATTTACAAGCTTCTTCTTGTCCTTT